CCTCAACAACCTTTTAGACCATTTGTTCCCAATTCTATAAGAAAAATCATTTTTGATAAAATTCATTCTTTATCACATCCAAGTGTACGTACAACTAGGCGTTTGATTCAATCAAAATATTTTTGGCCTTATATGCGCAACGAGATAAATAATTGGACTTCTACTTGTATAAGTTGTCAAAAATCCAAAATTTCTAAACATACTAAGACGCCTGTGCAAAAAAATTAACATTCCATTTGGACGATTCGAACATATTCATATGGATCTTGTTGGTCCATTTTACCTGTGTCAAAAGAAAATCGTTACATTTTAACTATCATTGATAGACATACACGTTGGCCAGAGGCATATCGACTTAGAGATATTTCAGCTAATTCTATAGCAACAACATTTGTTCAAAATTACGTTCCTCGTTTGGGCATTCCACTTTATATAACAGTAGATCAAGGATCACAGTTTACATCAAAATAGTTCACAGAATTAACTAAATTGTTAGGATCTCACAAAATTCATACATCCCCATATCATCCTCAATCAAATGGAATGATTGAAAGATTTCATAGGACATTAAAGACTGATATTACTGCTTCGGAGGATTCTACTCACTGGTTTGAAATTCTTCCTTGGATATTATTAGGATTACGTACGTCTGTTAAAGAAGATTTAAAATGCTCTTCTGCAGAATTAGTTTATGGACAAAGATTAAGATTACCAGGTGAATTAGTTGTTACGAACAGTTATAATAATGAAGTTGATAATACAAATGAAACTCTTTCTAAGCTAAGAAAATATTTTTCAAATGTTAGATCAAAGGTTGTACATCACAATAAAGAATACTCTTTTATTTCAAAAATTTGGATACTTGTGAGTACGTTTTTGTTAAAGTTATTCACAAGTCAAATTTGCAATCACTTATGAAGGACCATTTAAAATTATTTCGAAAAATGACAGAGTATTCAAAATTCAACGTGGAAATATGATTAAAACGGTTTCAATAGATTTACTCAAACCTGCAAATATAATTTCGGATACAACAAAAAAATCTAATTCACCACCAATTCCAAAAACAAAAGAGAAAATAACATTTAACATTAATTAATTTATTTTTTTACTGGAGGGGGAGTATATGTAGGGTGTTTTACCTATATGTTTTTATACTTGTTTAAATTCTTTATGTTCAATCTATGGTTCAATGAATTTGTTTGTTATCAAAAAGAAAATTTTTGATTATTCAATAAATAAACTTTCAACGAGATCAAACAAAAAAGGAAATACAATTTTTAATAAAATATCATATATTGATATAATTAGGACAGCGGCATCCTTCAACTTGTCAACTCGCGGGAATTTCTCCGATTTGCAAGGAATTTCGGTTTAAGTGGCAACCGGGGAATGGGCAATTTTTTTCGGGGAACTGGGTATGTTATTTTTATATCTTAAAGTAACCAAATTAGACGGATATGTTAATTTTTAACCAATGGACCCTTTTTGGAGCGACATTTTTTCAATTTGAATCGCAATATCTCCACAACAAGAGTTTTCCCAGATATAAGCTATCAACCAGATGAAAGCTAAGGTTTTGGGCTAGACTTGGGGAAACTTAGAATAAAATCGACTGACCGGTTTTTGAGAAAATTCCCGAAATGTATATTTTCAGCTGCCCACAACGGCATACGAATCAAAACATCTTGGAACAAAACCTTGTTAGATTATTTTGTACTTTAATTCCTGAAAGTTTGAAAAAAATTAAATTAAGGTACGTACAGACGCCACATACATACCAAAGCATCTCGTAGTGGAGACGCGAACCAAAACACATTTACCTCTATATCTTTCCAACTAGTAGCCGGAGCGGAACATATAAGGATCGATAGAATAACACTAAATATGTTGGGTGTACCCACATGCCCCGTTAAACCGGCAAAAGCCCAAAAACGTTTTTTGTTTCGCAATACTTTAGCCTAATTTTTAAGAATCCGGTTAATCGTTTATGAACTTGAATAAATTTTCTGGACACACTCTGCAAGACCTTTCCAACGATATCTCAAACATGTCGATTGGACGTCTGGATAAAAACTTCCAAATCTCGTGTATATATAAGCGAGTCATTTCAGCATGCTACTGTGGCTGCTTTCGTCACTCGCGCGCACTGCCGTGCGCTGTGATATTTTAAAATTATAGTTTAAAAAACTAAAACCTCTCTATTATAATTTCCATTCGTACTGTCATCAGGTATGTAACTTGATAATAGAAATCGCTGCATCTTTTAGGCGCATCAATATTACATAGTTACATACCGAGCTAATAAAAGGGAGGAAAAAAGAAAACCTTAATTTGCTTGTGAAGGGTGGGACGAGTCACCTTTGAGGACACACAGTTCGTGGGTAAAATGAACGCTGATGATTTGATGTTAACATTTCTTATATTTTTATAGGGGGACCTAGTTTAAAAAATGGGAAACTTAAGAATTTGTATGTTACGTTAAAAAATACACATTTTGCTGTGACGGGTGGGCAATAAGCATTTTTTTAACGTTATAACTTTTCACCATAAATGTATTTTTCTAATAACTTTAAAGCTACTGAATTGTTCTTTCTTTTTGGATAATTATTGTTTGCATTGCCACCTTTAGTGAAGGGGGAATGCCTTGAAAACTTGATGCAAACATATTACAGTATATTATATATGCATTTATAACAATAAAATAGAGAAAATAGTGAAATATAAATGGAAAATGGATATTTCTAAAGATTTATTCTACCTGCTTTACTGTTTTCACAGATTTAAACACAATTTATTTAATAATTTTTTTTTTTATCTGAGGTGTCGTCTTCGCTGGAATAGCTTAAATGTATAATGTAGTAAAAAAAAATTACCAAAGAAATACAACTGTGCCAAAGAAATACGCTGGTCATTTGACCCTCTGCATAACAGCATGTTGGTCAAAGAGAGTAAGAATGGAAAAAATTTGAGAAAAAGTGACGTGACCAGACCTAGATCTAAAGTGCGATGAACTCAAAAAAAATGTATGGCGATTTTTTTGCATAAATCAATTCATAGGACTTACATCCTATTAATGCGATTAATTTTTTTTTATGATTACATACATTAACTAAAAAACTACTATCATACCTGTTTTTGTGTTAAGTGCGTTGAGTCTGTACGATCCACAAGCAGTTATATTTTCCTCTGAATTTTGAGTTAGCTCACTTTAGATCAGGTGTGCGATATGATCGTCTGCGTAACAGCACCCTAAGCAAAAACCAACTGCGCTGTAAGCAAAAGCAAATGAGTTCATGTCTCTTTTCGGTTTTGCTGTCTGCTTTCGCTGATTTAATTTTCTTCGGACGCAGCTAAGCAAATGAATTCATATCCCCTTTCGCTTTTACTGTCTGCTTTCGCTGATTTATTTTTCTTCAGTCGCAGCTAAGCAATAGCAAATGCATTGAAAGCAATTTGAAACCCTGCTGAAAAGTAATCAATGAGTCGGTTATTTTATGCTCAAAAAATATATGGCCAACTTTGCATTTTTTGTTGCCTTAAAAATAAGTTACTTGGTCAAAAGAACAATGTCAAGATTTTTCTACAATGAGACAATAGCGGTGCGACATTTTTTTACTATTTTTTTTTTTTCTGAAAAAATCTGAAAACTTTTGGTGATTTCGTTTCTACCAAAAAGTTTTGCCTTTTGATTGCCCTTTTCTCTTTTCATGTCCGATTCTAAATTAAAGGCAAAGGGTGAGAAAATTTGGTGGTCGTTTCTTAAAATGTCACACTCTTGTAAGGCACAAAAAGCACATTCTCTGCCCTGTGAAGCTTTGTCAGAGGAGATGGTTGCCCTGAAAATTATATGGTTGTTTAAAACGACTATATGAAATGCGTGAGCTAGACAAGGCCAAGAAGACAAAAACATGTCTTTATACAGGGTTGAGTGCAACATCAAACACATTTTGCATCGGGGAAGGGCAACATTTTTTGGAAGGAACGAAATCACCATTCATTTACAAACTCTTGAATAATCGCTTTCGCAAGGTATTGAACTTTGAAACTTAACATAACAGATGACCTGATTGTATAATCGAAATGTCTTTGTCCCATCAAAAAACAAAAAGTGAGCGTGAGTGTGGAAAAGCAACAATAATTTGAAAAAATGGTAGAAGTGATAGCTATTTCGGAAATCACCACATTTCCTTATCAGGCTTCTTTCAGTAGGATTCGAACCGACGATCCCACTGACCCAGCCAGTTGCCTACGCACTGTGCTAAGTTCGCCTTGTTAATTCTTGCTGCTTATTTCCACTATTTCATTTGTTTAGCCAACTACAATCAAGCGCGGCTATTCCGCTGCAATTCACTTGATCATGTGGTTATTGGTTTTGTTGGTTTTTGTTAATATTTCTATTATTAGAATGTGTAACTTTTTAGGTGTGCTCGTCCTTAAGTTATTTGTTTTTGTTATTTTATGGACTTATAACAATTATATTCAACAATTTTTATTGAGCTTGAGGCCGTTTTTAATGAAAACGTAATGAAATAGTGAAAATAAGCAACAAGAATTAACAAGGCGAACTTAGCACAGTGCGTAGGCAACTGGCTGAGTCAGTGGGATCGTCGGTTCGAATCCTACTGAAAGAAGTCTGATGAGGAAATTTGGTGATTTCCGAAATAGCCATCACTTCTACCATTTTTTCAAATTATTGTTGCTTTTCCACAATAAGTTTTCATTAAAAAACGGCCTCAAGCTCAATAAAAATTGTTGAATATATTTGTTATAAGGCCATAAAAAACAAAAACAAATAAAAAGTGAGCTTTTAAAATAGATCTAATTTTTAAAACTGATCACACATCAAAAAATCTGTAAAACAAAAAACAAATGCATATTGCGCAGTGAGAAACCTAGTTACCTATTATTATTATTATTATTATTATTATTATTTGAGATCTTTGCTATAAAGCATTATAATATCTTTCTGATATATGTATTTTTTTTTAATTTTGCAGTACCGAATATTCTGAAGAAAATCAATGGGCAATTACCTACTATTCCAATGTATCCCGGCGACATTCCTTCATACTCTCCACCAGCCCGTTCATTTTTCACACCACCATTACCACCAGAATATCAGAATCCGTTCGCTGATAAACCTACCTTACGCGGCACAAATAATGAGGGTATTATTTCAAACTCAGGCACATACATAAACAGGCGACCAATACCACCTCCGAGTTTAATGCCCGGTCATGAACGCATACCGTTTCGTCCACCTGATCTGGCAGCATCAACTGGCGGTAGCACACAAGATGGCTTTGTTCCCGTTGTATCTATTGGAGACAATGGTAGCGTTACTAACGTACCCTTGGGTGCAAATACAGATGCGGAGAGGAAGAAAGCGCTGAATACTCCTTCGCAGAGCAACGGTGGTTATGGCAAATCAAACGCGGACGTGTCTAATGTTGGAAGTATTATACAAACGTTAACGAACGATCATAGCAAAAACTTCTATGGCAGCGGCGGCAACTCACAAGAGGCGCCTGTACAGAATAACAACTCGGCCCAACAACATAGTACAAGACAAGAAGTTTTGCCAAGTATACGCCGTATTTTAAGTGGCTCCAATGGAAATAAAGGTGAAATCCCAGAAGTGCTCCTAAAACAAGTCACCTCCCGTCCGATTGTTAATTACAACCAGCCACCATCATCGCCAGTTGTGCTCTTGGATGGTGGTAATACGGCTCAACAAGTTGAAGGCGGGGAAGATAGTGGAATATCAAGTAGCTCAAATATAAATAAAAGTAAAAATAGTCCAGCCTTGGCCAGTGATGATACGGAAACTAGAACTGAAGTCAGTGAAAATAAATTTACGGGAAAGTCCAACATGTATAATAACCACACCTACGGTGGAATGAATAGCAGTAGCAGTATTAGTGGAGGTTCGCGCGCTGGTAGCTCTACGCCGGCAACAGCGGCTGCAATTGGTGGAGAGCTAGCCGCAGCTGCGGCAGCCGCCGCTGCCACGTCAACGACTTCAACAGCGAGTAGCCCAACAATCGCTAAGAGCCCAACATTGTCAGCAACAGCTATAAGCGGTAATATCGGCAGCGATGCTGGCTCCTCGACGTCGTCTTCAACAGCTGCTGCCGCATCTTCACACTCTACATGGGCCGTTGCATGGAACATTCATGTTTATTTTTCTGTTGTACTCTTCACAATTTTGGCAGTTTACTCTTTATACAAAGTACTCACCTACAATAAGTTGACACACCTGTTTTCACAATCATATTTTATGTGCATTCATTTAGTACTGATTGTGATATGTTCCGCACGAATCTTCTATCTATGTTATGATGCATACAATATTCATGCTACTTTTAATTTGTTTGTTTCTGAGTTACTACTGAACTTGCCGGCAACATTCTTGACAATTTCATTTTCAGTTCTTATTCTTTACTTATTTTTAAAGGCACTGAACCATAAGAACAATCGATACTCTGCACTCATACGCCCGCTAACCGTTGTGGTAGGCTGTGGTGTGCACGTAGTTCTCTGCATTACACTGCATTATGTCGAATCGTACACCCTGCAAAATCAACAGGAACAACAACTGTTATATCAACAACAACAGCAACAGCTGCTCCACAGACGTCAGCAGCAGCAGCAACAACTTTTGCACCAGCATCACCACCAGCTGCAGCAGCAGCAATTTGTAGCAGCGGCAGCAACTCATTTATTGGTGTCTACAAATGCCGGAAATGTACATTCAGCTCTTCTAATGCAATCGGTCTCGGCAGCTGCAACGGCAGGTAATGTTGCGAGCAACACTCCTCCGCCAAGGGTGCTTTCTCTTATATGCCAGATTATATATATTTTTGTATGTCTTTTCCTCGGTATATTGTACCTTTATTTATACCGCATTTTGAAGCGTATACTTCGCAGCAAATCTCAAAATTATATACACGGGTATCAGAATCTTTCATACGCTATACACATCACTATAGCGACGGCGCTACTTTTTGTCCTTTTAGCTGCTTTGCAAATATTTGGGGCAATTAGTATATCCACAACACGGCCCCTTATACAACAATTGACTTCTGAAATCGATTGGTTACAGTGGGGTTATCAATTCTCTTTACGGTTGATCGAAATATCAATTATTACTTTGCTTTCGTGGGTGGCCGGCTTAAAAACAAGCGGGGGCGGCAGTGGTGGTGGTACAGCTGTTACTTCAGTGAGTAATGGCGATGCGCGTTATGGCATAGCCAGTGGTAATGGTGGTACCAGTGTAGTGTTCGGCGGCGGCACAGTAAATCATAATCGAGAGAAATATGCCCATCATCACTTTCACCACAATCACTCAAATGTGGCAGGGTTCTTTTTGCCGTGTACCTCTAGTTCCAGTCAGGAACAGTTTGAGACAGACTATCCAGCTGTGTGTAATGCGAATACAAACCTTCATACATATACAATGCGCACTGGCAAACTTATTTATGACGACAGTTTTGCACTGAATTCTCTCTCTGGCAATGGCCAGTCTCAACTGACCAGTAACAGCGCTATTCCCACTGGTTCTGGCAGCACACGAAATGCTGGAGAATTCCAGTTACAAGCGCAACCGACATACCAACGTCCATACGACTCAGGGTCCCTGAACAGCGCTATAGCGAACCATAATGCAAGTGAATATGGCACGCAGAGTACGCTAGCTGGTGGCGTACGTTACAGCCACGAAGCACCTCAATATGCAGACTATTTAACAGATACGACAACCGATCATTATGAAAATCCAAACTTTGACCTTTGTGGTTCCGTTAGTGGTTCAGGTTTTGGCGTAGCCTCAGCAAACCCAGGTGGAATACAAAAATTTACAAAAACCTCAACAACTTCCACTACGGCTAGTAGTAGCGGTGCATCCGGTTCATCGGCAGCCTCACAGCAGCATATGCTGCTTCTCCAAAGTGACAGTTGCTATTCGGAACCCTTACAACCCCCTCATACAACCAGTTATGACTTCAATAACTTTGAAAGACCACATTTGGTAGCTGGTAGCACCAGCAAACCTGCGGATTGTTGGTCAGAATCACATTCCACAGGTCAACCAATTCCTCGTGTCGAAAACCATAAAATCAATCGTGAAAGGAAAATCCATACAACATTGGATCGCAATGCTTATGAAAACCCAGAGCGGCGTAGCTCGAACTCTACGCATTCTTGTGCGTCAAGCACTAGTCGCTATGGTGGTTACAATTCCTTTGATCGTGGCATCTACAACGGCGTTCGTAAAAGTGGCACTTTAAATAACATCGGTGATAGCGGCAATTGTGGTGACCATGGGCCTGGTATAGGAATTCTGCATGGTCGCAATTCATCCTCTTCATCAGCTGCCTCGTCGAATATATCAGCACAACGTACATCTGGCGCGCAGACATTAGCACTAGCCTCAGAACGGCACCATCAGCAGCAGCAGCGTAGTGTCCGTTCCAACATGGGCACAGGTGTGGCACGTGAGCGCGATCATGACCATGATCATGATCGCGAGCACGAACACTTATTTAGTCGTTCATCTCTTGACCATAACAGTACTCAGCAGAAAAACCACTCGCAGCGTCAGCAAAACTCCGATGATGACATGATGTTACCAGGCAGTAATGTAGAGCGCTCTAACTTAATTGATAATGAAGATGGTTCTTGTATTACAAATAGTAATAGCACAACATCATTTTGCGGTGTCCGAAACCATTTGAACGATATCAATGTTCCAAACAGTAACACAGCCGACCAATTGGTTGGCAAAATCCATTTGAAAAGTAGTACTCATTCCACATCCAGCACTTCGAATGCATCCGGCACTTCGTTGACTGCTTCAGAAAGCATCAGCATCCGTGGCAGTGGCAATGGCACTGCAATGCTTGTAGCCGAACACGGGTTTGTTCGCTTTCGCGCCATCGACGATATGAACAACGCACAGGGCATAGGCATACACAACGCCTCCATACGCAACTAAAGTCCTCGATGAAATGTTTTCGTTATTTGAAATTACTGCTCCGGGGATGCTATGTTCGACAGGAATTACAATTAAAAATTCTACAACGTATAGAAAAGTACATAGCAGTCAGATTATGTTATGTAAATATATACCAGTGAATCAATTAAGCTTAGGTCCAAGGTGGTCGCCGTGGCAGGTTAGAAGTGCGCACTACACTCTCCCGAATATATATCTGACGTGGAAAACCTCTTAAAATCCATCTGCCGTTCAGAGTATACTTACAACTTCAGTGTTTGACTAGAGGCACACCACGATAATGTAATATATTGTAGGTCCAATTTAACGTCGAAACCCAGTTATTTTGCTTGAAGACATCAAAATGCATTCGCTTGTTCATCTTGCTAGTTATAATAACAGCCAAAATCTCACTGTAGTCCCAGGAAATACAACATACGTAGAGGAAGAATCTCACATTTAGGGACTATTGGGTCCCTTGTAATCGCTTCAGAGCAAAGAAAAACGCAAAATAACAACACATGGGGCACATATTCCCCAGACCTTCATGTTCCCAAGTTAACTGAGAGCATAAAGATTTTTCTTATTGGCACATTTCCCCACTCCACTTTATGAACAAAGCGCCGTTTTTTTATATGGTTTTATAATATTGTAAATAGTGGAATGACTTATACCCATTTCACAGCCAATTTCTTGTAAACTTTCTTTCCCATTGCACCCTTAAATTATTTTTGTCCCTAATTATAATTGATTCACTATATGAATGATCTCTGCGAATAGCGTTGTAAACGACAATTTTCTGAAAACTAGTTTTTAACCTTAAAGACATAAATGTACATATTTTATTTTCTAAAGGCAAGTATCTTAAAGCCTCATATAACGAAAACGAAATCAAATGACTTTATGGGCGTAATTAAACACGTTTTTTTTTTTCATTCTTGTAAAATGATCACCCTCATTGCGAGAGTCGTGTCGAATGCCAGTCGTTTTTCGAGAGTCGAATCGTATCGAAAATTGCACGTCATTGCCTAAAATTTCCACTCGACTAGTGTATTAAAACGGAAAAACTTGGCAGTACTGTATAGTTTTCGACGATTTTGGTCGTTTACTTATTTCATTACGACAATAGACAATGCTACTGTTGTCGAGTCGTACAATTTAGCCTATTTACGACCTACGCAATGAGGCTGTATAATTTTGTCGCTTGCATCGTTATGCGCAGCGACCATTCCCATGTTGCTCATAAAATGCTCATTCTCTTTTGCTACAGCCAAATATTTTTAAGGATTTATTATAACTACCTGAAGCAACAAAACACTTTTGTGATACGAATTTTTAGGTATTGTAAAATTTCGAAGGCAGCTGATCTTGAGAAATCCGGTAAATGGGGCGAGTTCCTACTGTACACAGTAGAGTTTCTAAAGTCATTGTTTTCCTTGCACTTATTTATTTTTTCATTTTAAATAATCCTTTGTGATAACGGACTTCCGAAACTTTGTTTTGTACTTGTACATTTACATCTTTCTCAGCGATGCAAAACAAGGAATAACTAGGGGTTTTCCATTCACATTTTTTAACACACTTTTAATAACACACTTTTTTTCCCCCGTACTTTTTCTGAATGCATGCCAGACTTATTTTATACTTTTTCACGACAAAAAGGCGTCATGACATTTCAAAAAAACAATTAGAGTGCAGGAACTTGTATATTTGTTGGATAAAATTGTATACATTTTTATGTATTTTATTGTACTTCACATAAACACTATTGAGTGAATAAAACACTACCCATCCAACATTTAGGTTGGGGAACGATTTGAACGCCTAACATACTGGAACGACAAGAGCGACGAGCAAAGCGACGATAAAAGCCACGAAGCATGTAAAATATAGCTAAACGGCAAAAAACATCAAGTGGATTTTTTTCTTTTTATGTGCTCTGCTCAATGCAAATAACATTTCGACCATGGAAAGCTCTGACTTAAGAATGTGGTACATTTTGTATAGAAATCCGAATCGTTATCTCTATCGCGACCTACCCCTGCCATCCCCTACCTTCTTCTGTCGTTTTTTCGTTGGGAATTAGAGCCCATTGGGTGTGTTGCTTTTTTCCTTAGGCCCTGTCTCCACAGGAAAACACTGATGTGAAAACTATGTCACAAAATATATTTCCAATGGAGACCGCTTATTTCTTATGTGCTGCAATATATGTCAGCGCTTATTGCTTGACATCTATTGCAGGCAATTCGATAGTTTGACAGCCATATTTTCATTTGAAAGAAAGCGTGCTGGTGGTAACATCGATGAAATTTTTATATTAAATCAAAATAAAAGTCTGTTCCTTATTGGATTATTTATGATTACGTTTTAGGAAATTTTTCAGCAAGTTTTTTAAAGATTTAAATGTTTTTAAACACCGAAATTGAGAGAATGTTGTCTGGTGGCGTCATGCCGCAAATGCTTATTTCAAGACATCAAAGTGCCCACACACAAAAACTTGCAATCACATTGCTCGTCAAAATGACAGTTGGTAGGCCATCGGTGTTTGCCTGTGGAGTTCTGCGGTTACATAGATGTAGCCACAGGTAATAGCGCAATTTTTATGGCGCTAGCTCAATAACGCCGGTGTCACCTGTGGTGTCAGCGCACTAACTCAGCGCATTAGAGCAGTGTACTGATTTGTACACGATGCCATCTGAGTGCCACCACAGTACCCATCGTCATACAGTGTAACACACCATACAGTGGTGTCATGTCTATTATTACTTTAACTTTCGGCGCTGAGCAATGCTTGTACCGCCAACGGAATTTAATTGCTAAGAATGTAGTAAATGCCACGATATTCTCATAATTTTGAGTAAAAGCTTTAAGTTTGCCAAAATACCCCAGTGGGATTTAGGAGCACGTAATAATACCTTATTAGCAACTTACTCTTCACCTGGCAGTCATTACCATTTCCCTGCCGAACGTCCCTTACTTTTACAAAGGCATGGCCGCCTTATGTAAGTAGGAATTTAGAATGTACATTTGGTGTCAGATATACTTCTGAGCCGCTTTACAAAGTAAGTTACGTGTAATGCAGAGCAGTCGCTCGGAGTAGTTCGGTGCTTGGAAATAACTTCGGCTGCACGTTATTTTGCAACTGACAACGTAATGTGTGTTCGGAGGTGTTCATTTTGCCCTTTACTAGTAGATGACATTGGCCATGATGACAATTTTGATACTAAAAACTGAAAGAAAACATGGCTTACCTCGCAAGGTGCTTACCTATTTTCCCAGTGGGACATAAGTTTCTAGCATTCTCACCACTCAAAAGCAAAAACAATGTACGTGTAATTTGTCATAGAATTAAAGCGAATTGTGTGTGTGTCATATGTATTATGCTGTTAATGGCGCTAGCGCTTTTCATATATTGGTATTGGCGCGACAACTCCGGCTACGGTGTTAGCGCAATTGCGTCGCGCAGCGCTGTGTTACCCATGCCTACATAGATGTTTGCATTTACTCCCAACTGAAAGCAAAGAATTTTCACTTTTAAGGGCCGTTTGCACCATGTCTAGTTAACGCTAACTGGAGGTACATCCTTCAGTTAAGCACGTTAACTGCTTTATCGATCACATGTTATATGATGGGTGTCGATAAAGATGTTTAACTGGAAGTTAGAATTAACTAGACATGGTGCAAACGGCCCTAAGTGTCTGATGAAAAACATAAAATGCAGATATGCTGCAATCGACTGCTAATACACATATTCCAAAATTCTGTCAACCGGTTTAATATGTGTTTGTATGTTGGTACGCAAAATTATATTATTATTATTCCATTTGCATTCTTAGTTAAGTTAAAGTTTCTTTGAAGGTTCCACTTTTGCAACATGCGGCATCAAATTTCCAAAAAAAGCCATATCCTCACACCGTTTCCGTTCTCGCTTTTTTTTAATTTTTAGTTTCTCTTTTTACGTCTCTTATTTTTCTTGTTTTCAAGTTGACTTGACGTTGAAGGAGTAACTGTCTAACTCGAAGTTGGAAAGGGATATGCTCTCCAGCACTACGACTCCTCAAATACCTCTAAATGTTCACTACTTCGTCTGGGGATAAACTTCTCTTTCAGAAACTAAAGACTTTCGAAATGAGCCGAACTGGCTGAGAAGCTTCATCGCCTGAACGACTTTGGGGAATTCTTTTCATCTCCTTGCAAAATGTGTCCCGCAGGGATTTCTATTTCAAAAGAAACACGTCTCCTATAATAATGACGCATGGAAATTTGCTTTTACATTTACCTACTTGTTGGTCTCATTTCACAATTCTCGACAACATTGGCATTGTTTACTCTGGTGCTGAAATAAGTATAGTCTAGTCGAACTTTTAGGCAATGTCATGAAATTTTCGATACGATTCGACACGACTCTCGAAATGAGGCAGATTTTTCTTGAAGTTATTTAAGTTATTTGAGGGAAAAAATTTTAATAATTAGTGAAAAAATCTTCAATCAATGAAACTAAAAAACGACGAAATTTGAATTTTATATTCTCGTCGCTTTACTATATTTTTGATTTTTTGCTTTGCTCATCACTATGCGATGCTATATTGGAATACCTGTATATTTTTTCGTCGTTTTTATCTTCGCTGTGCTTGGGGTCAGTTCTCGTTCTGCGTTATCGTGAAGTGAAGTGAAAAGTCAAAAATTCACACCGAAATAAATGCGGTGTGAAGGTGTGGCCGACTTCCAAAACGTATTAATGCAATGTTTGGAAACTGTTATACTGCGGTATTCAAACTGTTTGTATATGCAGAGTTGCGACACATTGCATATTTTAAATATTCAAAATAGCAATGAACAATTTTTCTGAAATCTAAATTTTTAAAACACCAGTGGTAACCAATAACAAACGAAGCATCAACATTGTTTCTGATGCACTAATTGCTCTGGCGATGCGTTTCGATAACTTTTCTTATGCGTTTTGGAATAGTATACATTGTCAATATTTTGTAGCTCGGCGTTATGCAATATTATACTTTGTACGTATGCAAAGCAATTGACGTTTTGGAAGTCAGCCTGTTATTTATATCACCTTACCATATCGCAGAACAAGAATTGATTGAGCCTCTTGTCGCCGTTTCACTATGTTTTTAGCCTAATGTGAGAGAACGATTAGAGAAATTGCCGAGAACTATTGCATTCTCTACAAAAAGGGAACTAAGTACTCGATACCGAGAAAAAGGTTAGATATCGAATCATATTCTAACGCTGAATTCTAATTGGCTTCTAATGTCTAGTGTGTTTCTAATAATTCTCTAATCGAGTTCTAACATATGTAGTTCTCTAAACTGATTTTCGATTCGAGAACTACATTAGCATTCGAATGTAAAATCAAAACGTACAACGTTAGAGACTGTGTTTGCTGGGTACACACCGACATATTGTACATACCCAACAAACATTTACGTTTGAGCTCAACTTGAGTTAAGTTGAGAACTAAGGTATTTCTCAAATCTCCAACGTTGTTTCTCAGCAGTACTTCAAGTGGAGGATCATAGCGTTCTCAACAAAAAGGGTATTTTTCTCTGTATGAAAAAAGGACTGTTTCTCAAGTTGAGAAAATGCTAGTTCTCAACTTGAACTCCAATGTAATTATCCAAATGGCCTCAAACATATAATACTGAAATTGAAATAGTAAAATAGCTTATACCTTTTCGATTGAAACGACATACATAGATAAATTTTAATATTAATTTTTACCTTCCTTTTATTAGCTCGGGATGTAACTATGTAATATTGATGCGCCTAAAAGATGCAGCGATTTCTATTCTCAAGTTACATACCTGATGACTAGGGAACGGATTTTTAGGACCCAAAAACCTATAAAAAAGGCAAAATAAAGTAACG